CGATTCTGTCGATTGTCTTCCGCGAACAATCTGAAAAATGGAGAACCCTAACCATCTCGCATACAAGCAAAGCCATTACGGTTGTTCACGATTACATCTTCAGCCTACTGACCAAGTTGTGCCACGAAGAGCAAGTCAAAATTCGCATCTGGGATATGCTTGTCGGAAAGTTGTGTGATGCGTACCGGCGTGCAATGGAGCACGCTTGCTTTCTGCTCGACATGGAACGCGGGATCAGACCGAGTACTTTCAACCACTACTTCAACGCAAATCTCCAGAAGAAGCGCAACGATCGCTTGTTGAAGAATTTGAAGTCGCTATCGGAAAAGGTCACGTACAATTCAGGCAAGAGCAGCGAATATAGCGTGGACTACATCGCCGTCAGCAAGCTCAAGGGCCATGCTGCTGACAAAGACAATGCGCAGCAGGTCCGCGAAGATATTCTTGATACTTTAACGAGCTACTATAAGGTTTCACGCAAGAGGTTCGTTGATGCGATTTGTCAACAAGTCGTTAATCATTTCCTCTTGGAAGGCGACCAGGGTCCATTGAAAATTTTGGGGCCCGACCTCATTAACAGTTTGGAGCCCCAGGAACTTGAGTTCATTGCCGGTGAAGGGTCTGCTTCCAAGTTCCAGCGACAAACTTTGCAACGGGAGATAGAGAGTCTCGAGGCAGCCAGTGAGGTTCTGCGTTTATGAGTGTGGGATCGCACGCTTGGCCAGGCATAGTGTTGTTGGCAGGAGATGCCACTCAATTACATCGCGGATCTCGGCAATGACGTTATCTAGGTCCTCAAGGCCAGCGGAGACGGAATGCGTCACGCTTACTCGATCGTCAGATACCATGTACAATAGCGGATGATGGATCTTGCGATTCCATGATGGTTCGCCACGATCACGCTGGGCTGGCTCGCCAGAAATGAGCCGGACCGACAAAATGTGTCAAATATGAGTGAGGCTTATCATTACAAGCCTGTTCCTGCTCTCGACCGCCTGTAGTCAGGGTCTGAAGACTCGCGCCTTTGTCGTCGAGTCCGCATATCTTCCATATGGTGCGCAGGAACTCTACACTGGTAGGAGCCTGCACAGAGCTCTAACTCATCCGCTGCTTGATATCGCGATAGAGGCTGTATAAATCCTCAAGCAAGATATTTCCTGTGCTGTTCTCCAACAACAATGTGTGTAGCTGAATACGCGGTCTTGTGTGGAGAGGCGTCAAGCTAGGTCTATACGTGTTGCCGCTTCGTCCATCACTACTACTGCGGTGCTATCTGTCTAGGTCGACTGCCGCCAACTCAGGAGTAGAGAAACTTTTGTGCACGGCGGTGTCCTGACGACACTCGTGCGTGGGGGACTAGTGGCCCACGCTTGGCACGTCAGTGCAGGATTCACAAGTGCCACGGCTTTATGATTCTTTGTCAGTGTAGAAGTAAGCTTCTTGACCGCGTTTTGCATTCAAGTTGTCAGATGATGAGGAAATGATCTCGTGGGTGCCCTGTCGCTTGCCTTATGACCCCCTACCGCCACACGTCTGTCAAAGCATGGTCTCATTCTCGATGTCCATGCGGTAGCGATCCATATTGCCAAGGCATTCGATTAACTCTACACCTCAGAACCGCGGTCCACGTAGGGCGAGGTTGGCCATTGACAAAATCAATCCCGATGCAAGTGCTAACCAGGGAAACATAGACAACCAAGGTGCTCCATTGCCTACCGCTTCGTGATACTCTGGCTCTGTGTGAAACATGTGCGGAGGTTCACCGAGGCACTCGTCCTTTCTGAACAGGATAGTCAAGATATCTCACCTGCAGCCAGTGGTCTGCGGCGGCGCCGGGCCTCATTTACTGACGCCGATGGAAATCATGCGTACAGGAGAATCCGGGTTGATGAGCAATCGTACAACCAAGGGTCTTCAGCAATTACTATAGCTCAACAAAGTCGGCCGACGCACGACCGGGTTGGTGACGAAGCCTTTCGGAAGCAGGTCCTTCATCAGCTCGAAATAAAGAGACGACAAGCAGTCTCGAGCTCTCGAGGGGAGATGAGAGACGATCAGGTCTACAATATATTGCTGGAGAGAGTACACCACCGGTGATGAGTGGGTCGAGCACCACTGAGGCGCATTTTTGGTCCGGAGATGAGGCAGCGATAGGGTTCGAGGTCCACCTTCCTGGAGTTCCTGTCTTCACGCAAGGTCAGCAGCGCTTCCGCTGGCGTGAAGGCCGTCCTATCAGGCAGCTATTCCATCGAATAGTAGATTTCGATCGGCTGGTGGCTGTCCAGACATCATCCCTTGGTACATACGGCCCTCTGTTTCAATACAAATCTCTGCACAAATCTCCGCGAGAGGTGGGAGAGCGCTTCCTACGCGCTCAGCCTACCGCCGACCCTTGGAGCCTTTCTCGACGTCCGGAGCCCGCTTCCACCATCGATCCTGCCGTCTTTTCTGGATGGTGACAACTGTCAGTTGCTGTCGCGAATGCGTGACGCGGTCCAGGCAGTAGCTGAGGCAGAGGGACCGACCCGACCCGGGCAGGTGTGGAGAGAAACTTCAGAATGGGTTCTCCTCTCCGAGGGTGGACACAATACGGTACCTCACATAGACAGCCACGGTTTTTCGACCTGGATTACAGCTCAAGAGGGCTGCATCGGCTTTGGATGGATGTCACGTCCGACCCGCGGGGAGTATCGTGATTGGATGCTTAACCCCACTGCACCCCACAGAGACAGCCGTTGGAGGTATGTTGTACTCCGCCCAGGCTGGACAGTCTTTTCCCCCTCAGGCACAATTCACTTTCTTTTCCGACCCGAAGGCGTTCAGACACTTGCACTAGGCGGCCACATCCTACAGTGGACAGGCATTAGTTTATGGCTGGATGTTGTGGGCGAGCAGTTGAAATACGCGGGCGCTACAGGTGAAGATGTGGGGCAATATGCAAAGAGTATCTCCGTTGTTATGTATCTTGTACTCAAAAAGGTCAAGAGCGGTGGGCCGGACGAGCTTGGTGGTAAGGAAGAATTACAGAAGATCCGCAACCATATGACTGTAAGTGCTTCCCAAACGTGACCATCAGACTTCCATCTAACAACTTCTAGGCAATCCGGACGTCTACGGCCGGCCTCGGCATTCCTTCGCGGATCGAGGAAGAGCTTATGAGACTGTTATCAGGCTCTGTACACTTCGATCAAGACGCTGAGCATGCCTAGCGTAGAGGCTTGCCACATCCTTCTCTTCGGGAAAAATTACAGTACTACAGAATTCAGAACAAATATTGGGACAAATCTCAAGACATTGGCCCGTCTTCGAAGATGCATCGGTTTGGACGTCTTGGCCATTCAAGGACACGTGGCAGGCGCCTCGGAAAAGCAACCAACAATTTTCTCTTACTGTCCGCGCCTATACTTGGGGTCTTGCTCTGTCTTCCCCACGAAACGTAGATGGCGGCAGCCCAAATATCTTGAGGACTGGTCGGCAGCCACGTTTTGAATTGAAAAGATCATATGGCCATATCACAGTATCTTCTGAACTTTTGTGACTTTTCTCTTTTCCTGAGGGCGAAGAGACGGTTCATTCGCTCTACTTCTACATGGCCCTCGGTTCTATCAATATCCATTGCACTGTTTCTCTTTGATTTTCCGTATCTGGCTGCTCATCTTCCGGTCTCTTGGATGGATCGTGCTTATCTGGTCCACTTTGTGGTGGGCTGCTCCGGTCTTCGTCTGCACCTCCTTCTGGCCCGGTTTGTCCTAGATCTCGCTGACCATCGCCCGGCCCCTGGACGGAATTTTGCTTGTCCATAGGGGTCGTGCCCGACTTTTCGTGTCCATCTTCTCGTCGGTCTTGCTTGGCTGTGGAAGACCCATCGCGCGCGTTATCTGCGCCAGGGGTGGGAGATGGGGTTATAAGGTTCCCAGGAGGAGGTTGATACCCCCCCCCTTTTCTTAGAGTTCTCAAGGTAAGTAACAATCTTCTTGCCAGCCTGATGGATCTTGGCCTGTGATGTCCATTCATTCGCAGGATAACGCTCTTCGTTCTGGTCAGCCACGTAGTCAATTCGCTCCTCGGCGCCGCTTCCGTAAACCTCGGCCGCTGCCAAGCGGTGTTCCTCCTGGACTGTGAATTTGATATCCGGTTCATTCCGGCAAAATTCATGAAAGCGCTGGATCTGCCGTGCGAGCGCTTCTGCCTGCGCTGGGTTAAACCTCGACATGATTTATAAATAGCGGACCTTCGGTCGATTAGTGATTGAAATGGTATATGGTGTTTGATATACGAGCAAATATTTGTGGCTGGTGCATTCTGGAGACACTTTGTTTCCTTCTTATAAGTCCCAGAGCCCTACAACCAGGTGCCCTGTAAGTCATTCCATATGAGACTTATTCCTGGATATAGGAATTTCGCTTACTACGTGCTAACAAAACAATCCGATTCCTAAATTACGACTTCAGGCCGGCATAAATGGCCAAAAATGCGATTATCGGGCCCAACCACCAGAAGACCAGCCGTGCACCCCAATCTTCAACGATTTTAGCGACCGTATAAACGTCTCCTCAACCACATCAACCCAGCAGAAAATGACTGCAAAACATAAGAACAACAATCGTTCATGAATTACAGCGGTGCCAATCACCATTATAATAGTCACTATTCTGATCCTCTTAACCGTGGTTTCCATCAAGATGTGGCGGGGCCAACGGGCAAAGGCTATGGAGCGTGATGCCGAATCAGGAGAAACCTCTTCGACCGAGCTCCTAGAAACGACTGCGAGCTATCCTCGCGGTCGTGATTCCATATATAATTGGAGGCCTACGGTCATCTCAGTCTAAAGCCGAAAGTTTGATTACGTACCTCCTTGAGAGGACCAAAGACGATGATAAAGGTGCCCAGAGTTAGAAGAAACGCATCTAGGATTAGGGAGATCTGATTGAGACATAAATGTTGTGAGAGCCATGGGAAGGTGGACATTAATAAGGTGTTGCTATGTTGAAGTATAGACTGAAATCCTCAACCTTGGATGGGAAATGGTATCCCTTGTATTTTCTTTGTTACAAAATGTCTTTCATACGAGATTTGGAGTTTCTTGCTCACCAGCTCCAAGTGCCGAGATGAAAACGTTGATAAATAATATTTCTAAGGAACGTGCATACAGTAGAATCAACCTCCAGGTATTTGCTTCATAATTTTCTCTATTCGCTCGCGTCTTTTGCAAGAGCATGACCGTAAATCAACTTGGGGCCACATTCAAATCCCCAGGGATTGTAAGCACTCGCTGGTGCTAGCCTGGTCATTCTACGCCAGCACTCCGAGCATTGGACATGTTTTTGACATGGTTTCCAACAGAATCCTATTGGTACCGGTCTTGATGCTTTTCGTGCTTCCTTCAGTCCAATCTGTGAAGACAAGAGCATATCTTGCACTCCAGACGCGCTCGATCAGTTTGCGCGAGAAGGTATGACTTACTGGCTGTTGTGGAAGTATCCGGCTAATCATGATGCAGAGCTTCAGAACCTGACTCTCGATCTCATCCTCGCACTGCACGGTCTGCGGACCTCTCGCGTCCTCTCTTCCCGCGGTGGAGGCAAGAATGTCTTCAGCGACCTATCAAAATTGAAGTTCCAACATGGTCAGAAGTGCCATTTGACATAAGATTGGTCATCGATTGGCCACTGTAGAGGTAGCCAGTCAAACTGTTCGCTGTGACATCTTGCAATTCAAGGTGCCAAGAGGTCGAGCCAGAGAAAGTAACGTCGGAAGGATCTTGGTCATACGGGACAGGCCTACAACAGCACGAACCCGTTGCTCTTTCATTTTCAGGAAACCTCCTTTCGAGCCAAGTGGTTGAGTCGCTTTTCATGGTATCCTGCTTCTGGCCCAGAATAGTGCCCGCCACTCGCAGGATCGCCAATGAGAAGTATCCGGCAGTTGGCACGAACGAGTCATCTCTTCGAAGGGAGTTGAAGATACTGTAAAAGGACCTCTCCTCCGTCCTCCGCCTTCGTTATTTTCTTTCACTCTCCCCGTTACTGCTCTATACTGTACTGTATAATTGGGTCACACTGAACTCTAAATGATACCTGGAAACTTTTGTCATTGCAATGTCTTGCCCCAACCAGCGACCGTCCCAGCTGCCTCCATGTCCCGGCCCACCACCAAACCGACCTTTGCCGGCTCTGCCCAAGTAGGGCTGAGATCGATGTTGCAGGGCGAACAATCTGGGACTCAGGCAGAAACATTTGGGAAAAAGACGTCTGTATTTCAACGAGGCCTTCATGACAGCTTTCGGGCTTTCTCACAGACCAGATTTCTGGGGAGTTTGCCAGCATCGCTGTTGTCCTGGATGATGTATGAGAACGGTTCCAGACATTTCCTGGGAAGACCGCAGTATTGGCACTATAATGTGAAGTAAAAGGGTCGTGAGGGTAGAAGTGCAGTGTGTGACACGACCAAGGCACTTTGTACACATTC